TGCTAACGAACAACTCTTTCGTAGCTTGCTCTGACTTACAACACTTTCGGAACGATGCTAGTGCCGCTGAAGTGTATGCTGCATACGCAGCATCGTTTACGGCAGGTAGATGCAGCACCGGCACCAGTTGTCTGGGATAATTGTATGTCCCCAGCTTAACCTGGAAGCAAAGTGAAGGTTCAGCGCCAAACGACTTCACATGTGAACACGATAGCTACATCAAATTTTTAAAAAAACAAACAAAAAAAGTTTGGTACTCACAGCTTGCTTTGTCTCCTCATCCTCCACGTACACAAACTGCGGGCCCCTTTTAGGGGGGGGGGGGATTCCCCGGTTCCCCGCCGGGCCAGTACGCCCCTGCCCCCCCCCCCTCTTTTCCCCCGCCTCCCGTCAAACCTACAACTATCTTTCACTCTTATTTGGTCTAGCGTCGCGATTATTTACCGTTGCTGATTTGGAAGTGCGGCCTTCAGGCCTGGCCGGGACTCTACAGCTTTTGAGGGCATCTGTGTCGTCCCGTACGGTCTGCATTAACAATTAAACTAGGCTACAGGTCATGTTCTCGCACGACGCATAACGCCCATAGCCCAACCACGGGCCGTATCGTAAACGAGGGGGAAATCACTTGCGTACTAGCTCGTACACCCAGGCCTGTACTAAAGACGTACTACTTCGTACTTCCAGCGTAATAACGAGTACTAATGTTAAAAATCAAGCGTAACAGTGCCGTGATAACATTATTTTGCATAAATCATGAAAAATTGCGCAAAATATAGGGTGTACTAACGTGTAGTAACGTACTAACTCGTACACTCAGATCTGGAGTGATTTCCCCCTCGATCGTAAAACGGCGCCTGCTGGCTGCTTTTAGTGGATCCGACGGGGGATCGTGTGTCTAAGAATGCACGCCCTATGGTAGTCTCATCGCGCATTGCCTCCTTTTTCTCGTGTAGAGTGGGATAGGTGAATCGGTCGTCCTCGTGTAAAAAGGGAAGTTTTATTTCGACGTTTTGCTGCCACATAAAGAATCTAAACTGGATTCTGTTGAATTAGTCGTCGCTTTTGTTGGTAAATCTTCGTCGGACATCCGAAGCTGGAAGAGAACTATCAGGTATGTGGCAATGGCTGCCATGATCTAAAAAACAAAAACAAAAAGCGAGCCATTGAAAATTATCTGTATGCTCCTTATTGTAAACAAGTAGAATGAAAACGCATCACATTAATTTGATGCAAAACGAGGATACTCTTTCTTTACCACCTGTTCTCTCATGCATGGTGTAATTTAGAGCTTTGCGTACCCACCGAGGGGTCCGTCATTCCGATTTTTCGTGTACAGTGACTAATGATTAAAAATCAGTAAATGACTAAAAGTGACTAAAAATTGAGTGAATGACTAAAAATGACAAAAAAGGAGAAACTGACTAAAAATGACTGAAATTGACTAAAATATGACTGAAGATGACTGAAATTGACTAGAAATGACTGAAAATGAATGATGATTGTTCACGTTCACATTCGGCGTTCTGTTCGACCCCCGAAAAGATGGCGCGAGAAACGAAACTAGAGAAATAAGATGCGTCCTAAACGAGTGCATCCACGATGATCAATAAGGTGGGGAAGAGGTGAGAATTGAAATGACTGAAATTGACTAAAAATGACTGAAAATGACTGAAAAAATGACTACAAATGACAGAAAATGACTAAAAATGTGACGGAATTTTCATATGTACAGTGACTAAGAAGAGTGACGGACCCCTCGGTACCCACCCATTGAAATATGAAATGGTATCCCAGGTGAAACTATCTTCAGTTAAACTAAAGTCAAGTAACACGAGGAAAAATGTTATTAAACTATACAAAACTGTAGTTAGACTACAGAAAAAGTACTACTTTTTTCGGACTCTCCAGTTAAAACTACAGTTTTCTAGTTGAACTGTACTTTTTCGTTAGTATATATGCCTTAGCTGGAACACTATAGTTTAGACTACAGTTTAACTGAGGATCCTTCCACCCGGGTAACGAACCATGCGAACGCAGGTTCAAGGTGTTCACGGTTCCATCAATAGATGGCGCTGCTCGCGCATGCGCACAACCCATATTATGGACTTGTGTTGATGTTTTGAATGTTTGTAAATAGCATTATTCTAATTTTCACTTTGTTATTAAGGTAGATAGAGAGTTCACAAGATGCTAGCGTGATTTTTACGCCGTTAGCGTGAAATGAGTTGTTTTGGTTAGCAGTTGACTTTATTCTTCCACCCGGTCAGAAATAACAGGCCGCCGCCGTGATGCTATGCTATTCTTTTTAAAGTTCTAGCGGCACAACGCCGATATCAAAAATAACCTGCAAATTGTGATACCAGCAAGTTACTTTGCACACTTGTTCTTGACACCCGAATGGTCGATTTGGCCCGCCGTACCTATCTGAAATATGTTGCGCGGGTGGGTTTTTGGGGGAGTGAAAAACTACCCCTAAAATAATAGGTCTTAAAATTAAGCTTAAGGGGCAATTTTAGAGTCGATTTCGACTAAATCAGACCCACAGAACTCAAAAATGGCGATAGGAAATCTTTCCGGTTGATATTTGGTCATATTTTGGGCTATTTTGGTCCATTTAAGACCTAAATGACTTTTATCGGTTTTCGGCATTATGGGTATTGTTTCTTGGGTTCCAGAGGGGTAGAAACCGGTAGGGATGATAGAAATGACCCCTCCTATTCACTCGTCTCGGGTGTCAGCGCCGCAGGCCTAGCTATATGTGCGCCAGGCGCGTCGCAGTGTTACAGTGTTTCGTGATACTAGATACTAGATAATCTAGGGACCCTTAAGCCCTAAAGAGGGTGTGGTTCGACCCGTAATGTGTGGTTTAAGTACCACCCCCTTTACAATTCTGTGACATGAAGCCCTTTTTACGATTTAATAGACCATTTTGTCTTTTTCACGTTGTTTTCTCTAAGAATTGCCCCA